CTATCTTGATGATAGAAGAAGACGCATTTATTGCGCAACTGGATTTTAATAGTAAACAAACGAAATTGATAATTAAATACAAACAGATGATTGGTTGAAGTTACGATTGATAATAATATCAAAAAGAGCCCGAAATATATGATCGTGACAACGATCTTGATTCTGAGGCAGGTTTTCTTCATTTTCTCTTCTTTTTTTGTTTTTGTTTTCCCTCTTTTTTGTTTTTATTTTCATTTCTTCTATTGCTTTCTTCATTTCATCTCCAATCATTGGTGAACTGTTCTTGATGTTGGTCTTGAGGTAAGTTTTTTTTGTTATTTTTGTTAATTTTTTTTCATTTTGTTTTGGTTGATTTCTTTCTTCAGTTTCTTTTTCTTTTTCATTATTGTTTTTGCTGTCACCATTATCTGTTTGTTCTGATTATCAGTATAGTGGTAAATGTCATGATTCCATCCATTCTTATTATTGTTGTCACCATTATTCCATCTTTCTTCCGTTAGGTGCTAAGAATGTTGTGGTTTTGCTACTCTATCTCTCCAGTCATTGTTCCAATTTCTCATTTTCTTTTTTATTACATCCATATTTTCTTTCACTCTTTTTCAATCATTGGTGAATTCTTCTCATTTTTTGATTCTGAGGTAAGCTTCTTTTTTATTTATTTATTTATTTTCTTATCCTTTTTCTCAATCTGTCATTGTCATTGTCATCCTGTTTCAGTTATAGATCCTTTCATTCTGAGGTAAGTTTATTTTATTCTTATTGTTTATTTTCAATGTTGATTTGTTTTATAGTTGGGATTGTCAGTCTGGGTGACGTTGTCATGAGTCCCTTGGGCTCAAATAGGTATTCTCGTGACATAGGTGTTCAACCAATGTCTATTTTGATACTTTGGTGATTCGATCCAGTTGCTTTAGGATCACGGCGCAATGCGGCTTCTTCTATTCTATTAATCTAGAATAGAAAACACTACTACTAATAAATATCTCCTTTGTATTTACTTAGTGTGATGATGGTTCTATAGCAATACAGTACTGATATTCTATAGCAACCTGGTTGAATGTCCAGTAGTATATAAGATAAGTGTTATAACAATTTTGATAATTATAAAA